CCAGCAGGTATGGCAGTAACCGAAGAACTGCCTGCCTGTGTGTTTTCTGATACCATCTTTTGATTATATCATGGGAATGGGCTTTGGAGGCAGAAAGCAGCATACAGCATTCTTTAGGAGGACTCTGTGCACTCCTTGCTGAAGCTGCAGAAACCACAGTATGGGCACACACCCCACTACCAGCAGCCAAGGTTAACAGAGACGCCTAGTGCCCACCCAGAGTCCTGCCCATTGCGGGCATGTGCACCTTGTGAAGGGAAGCAGACTCCTAAGCTAAATGCATGTGGTCCTTGCTGATGAATCCATCAGCATGTCTCAATTCATGACAGTCTTGCACATGGGTATCATACCCATCTCTGCTCTCAGGGAGTTCAGAGTCTAGCTGAAAGATAAAACACTGTGTGAAGGACTGGAGAGATGGATCAGTAAAGAACACCTGGCTGCTCTTACAGAAGACCTGGGTTTGGTTCCCAGCATCCACATCAGGCAGCTCACAACTGCCTGTAACTCCAGTTCCAAGGGATCCAGTGCACATGGTACAAGTCCCTGGACCCAAGCACATACACATATTGGTAGGAGGTGGATAGCTAGATCTTTAGACATGGTGTGCAGCAGGGAGAGAGGGATGATGAGCACACAGGAAGATCAGAGCAGGGGAAAGAGAAGTGAGTGGGCTGCTGGCGTAGAGACACAGGAGAGTTTGGAGAGTACTGGGTTCAACTCACAGAGTCATACTGGGGAAATAGAGAGCCTGAGAGGAAAGTGACCAGCCCAAGGTCACACAGTCACAGGACATAAGTAGCAGAGTTGGAATATAGGTCCAGGTCCTCAGGACTAGGTGTTATTTTAGACTTTCTCTGCAACCCAGGGAAATGTAGAGCCTGGGAAATATGGGGTGCCTTGGGGTGGAGAAGAAGAACTAAGGCAGGGACCAGCAGGGGGAGACTGGGGCAAGCTGCTGGGACGATGGGCAGGATCTGGAGGGAGGGAGTGGGGCAGAGCAGGAAAGCCAGACTGACGACTGTACTGTAGACATAAAAACATTTTAAGCCCAAGTCAGCTGGGGAAATAGGGGCATAGGATGTCCTTAGAGACATGGCTCCCCAAATGCCCAACAAGACTGCAGGCCACCCGCCAAGAAGGCAGCGGGTAGTACAGCCTGGTAGGATGAGTACCAGGATGAACTCCAGGGGTCATGCAGTCTGTATCCAAATGGCCTAGGCCATGATATTTCTGTTCTCTGAGCCCTGACGTTTGTTCACCCCTGACGTAAGCAGATACCCTCTTCCTTCCCAGGATCACAGCCTGGCGGAAGATGACATCTGGAAACATTCGGCAAGGATAGCACACACAGCAGATCTCAAATGTGCAGCAGCATTGGTTTCTACCCACTAGCCTCTGCTGTGGGATGTCTTTCTGTTCACTGTGAATGTGTGTTGCTCTGATTGGTTGATAAATAAAGCTGCATTGGCCTGTGCAAGGCAGCTCAGAGGCAGGTAGGAAATCCAAGCAGAGATACGGAGAGAAGAAAGGAGAGGAGAGAGAGATGCCGGCTGCCGCCGAAGGAGCAGCAAGATGCCAGCAGATTGGTAATGCCATAGCTACGTGGCAACGTATAGACTAATAGAAATGGGTTAAGTTATAAGAACTAGCTAGCAAGAAGCCTGCCATAGGCCATACAGTTGGTAATTAATATTAAGCCTCTGACTGATTATTTTAAAAGCGGCTGAGGGACCACGGGGCTGGGTGGGACCTGAGAAAAGTTACGGCTACACAACTCCTCTCTGTGTCAGTTCAAAATGCCTTGCATGGGCTGTTGCAATGGCTCAGCTTGCTGTGCAAGCCTGTTGTGTGCCCTCCAGAACCCACTGTGGAAGGAGGGAACTGACAGCTGAAAGATGTCCTGTCATATCCCCTCGCATGCTGAGCACTTGCACACTACACACACAAATACGTAACATCGCGAAAGTCAAAGAAAAGGCTCTGTCCAAGTCTGGGTGGTGGCACAGACCTGTAATCCCAACACTCAGGAGACAAAGCAGTGAGACCCTGTCTCAGAAAGGAGGGAGGAAGGGAGAAGATGGGACACGAAAGAGGAAGGGCAGGACAGCGGGGAGAGATTAGCTCTCTCAGCTCTGTTCAGGTGTTTCTGGGTTTGCAGCGTGTCTCTCCACTCTCCACCTCCATCTTCACACAGCTGTCCCTGTGTCCCTGTGTCTCTCTGCCCCGTCTAAGCACACCATTTTTGGGGTCAGGACAATCTGAACTTCATGACCTCTGCAGAGCCTTCTCCCACCAGGCTCACTGTCACAGCAGCAGGGATGGGGACACACAGAGGGAGACCTGTGCAACCCGGAGCGTGTGTGTCGGCTCCCGCTGCAGACAGGGTGTTACAGCAGGGGCAGGCTGCCCTTCCATTTGGGCCTGGACAGAGCTTCCTAGAACCTCTTCCCTCTCTTGGTGGTACGATAGCCATTTGGAGATGGAACTGGGGTCCACCTCCCGGGACTTCCCTTCCTGCCCAACTCAGACATTCCATCCTGCAGGGAGGCTCCTTAAGCATGAAGGTAAATAACCCACAATAGCTTCAGGAAGTCCCTGAAACCGACCAGATTCACTAGGCCCCTCCCTGCCAGAGTAAACAATAAAAACTGAGTGTAGCTCTCAGACAGAAATGAAGCTGAGAGGCCAAGAAGACTCTGACCTGATCAGTTCCCTGGAAGAAGTGGTTTAGACCAGAGTCCCTTGGAAAGGACATTCTTGAACCTGTCAAGCTGCCTGTAGGCTGTGCAGTGGGCTCCAGGTTCCTGGGTTTTGTGAGCTGTCACCCAGGCTTGAGTGGGTCTTGCCGACACAGCTTTGTATTATTTCTGTTGCTGTAAGTAACTTCCCACCCATACTCCTGTAAGTAACCCAACAGAACTCCCTGTTTCACCAAGTTGGACTTTGGTGGGAGCCAAAATCTGGTCTGTTGTGGGATCCCCATCTGGGGTGAGTAGACGTGTGTGTTGCGTCTCCCCAGGAAAAATCTTGTCACACAACACGTCTGATCACAGCTGTCTGAACAGTGCCAGTTGCACCCCTTCTGGTAACATCTGTCCTCCAGGGACTCTCTCTCTCTCTCTCTGGAAAGACCCTCCCTCTGAGAGAAGGGGCACGGAGAGAACCATGCTTCTCTCTGCTGGCCCCTGCCCCCCATGCCGCAGCCACACCTCTGCAGCCCAGGTCTGGATCCAGGTGCCTGTGATTTGTGTTTTGTCTGGAGAACCCAAGAGCCTCAGGTAGACACCTTGGGGCAGGGGCACAGTGGCTGGAAGTCCCTCCCGTGTGTAGATCATGTCCTGATAGTA